AAATAATCGGTGACTAGTCGACTATCAAAATAATCGTTTGTGGCAGCCCTAGTGTGAAGTATGTGTTACACTGGAAACTATGCTGACCTGCCAGCTAATGACCTGACACAAGATCAGTAAAGCTTTGTGTAAAAAAAACAAAACAACCCTATGTCCCAGTGTTCTTGTGTGTGTGACGGTTCTCTGATCAGCTGACTGGTTATGCTGCTCCTTGTCTGTGTGCAGGGGGCAGGTGTGGAGATTTACCCCGGCAGCGTTTGCAGTCTTGTTGGTAACGGCATCCATCATTGTAAGGATGGGATCCTCATCAAGGTGAGATGAGATTCATCTTGCCAATATTCATATTTCTGCCAACTCCATCGTCCTGACTTTGTAAAGCTGTTATCACTGATGCTGTATTGTTAGTAGGCCTTTTACCCCCATTGTGGACACAGTAGTGCTTGTGCTTTGAGTGGCAGTGATGCAGTGGTTAGCACTGCTGCATTGCAACAAACAGGCTGCAGGTGTGATGCCCAGCGTGTGCGTGTGCGTGTAGGACTTTGCTGATCAGATGGATGCAATGCCTTCCATCACCATGGAGAACAATGTGATCCACAACAATGAAGGCTATGGGGTGATTCTGGTGAAACCCAACAGTGGGGAAGAGCCCAGCATCCCTGTGGGAAGAAGTGAAGGTGGGTAAGGTGGTAATGTGGTAATGTGAGGCAGCTTTGATAGCCCAGTGCACAATCTATAATCAGCTGCCCCTTTCCTCGCAGAGCACCCTGATGCACACACACAAGAGGAAAAGCAGGGAGGATCTTTAGACCATCACTTGATCTCCACCTCATTTTCAACACCACCTGTCAGCACCACGTCCAGCAGCAGCCCCTCGCTACCTCTTTTGGCTGGGTCTGCTAAGAACAGCTCAGACGGTGATGCGGCTGCGTCTACAGGCAGGAAGTGGCAGTTTAGCCGTCAGCTAAGCAGGAACGTGGAGATGTCCAGCCAAGCTGTTGAGGATCTGAAAGACCACCAAATCTTTGTGTCCTTTCAAGGAAACCAGTTCAAGCGCAACGGCATGGGCGATTTTGGCACCTTCTGCTACTAACACTGAGACCTAACATTGCCACGCACCCCTCGGCATTTCTGCCCAGTGTGTATGATGACACTAATCTTTTTGCCATAAAATAAATGTTGCAGGAATGTGTTGTTCTGATTCACATGTGTGGAGCTGTGCACAGGCAGGTCTAAATATCAGCTCTGATGTTAACGTCCAGTGGCTGTGGATGAACCCTTCCTGTGGAATTTGCACAAATTCTTTTATCCGTTTTATTCCTCTGAGCTTTCTAAAAAATTTAAATCCACGTTTGGTTTGTTTTATTCTGAGGTGGTGGCTTGCAGAGTGCTGAGGTTCACACAGATGCTTTTTAGAACGATGAGTTCAGATTTTTCAGACATGTATGACAAAGTTAATAGTTTAGAAAAGTTTTATTTGCCATGTTCTGAAAACGGAATAAAAAGTAACTCTACAGTTTAATATTTAGAAAGAACCGAGTGTGGTTGATGATGCATTTTGTGAAATGGATGAATAAAATACATTTTAAAGTCATATTTCCATCCTCTTCTGTCTGGATGTGCACCTCACCTGGGACAAGGAACACATGTCGGACGGGTCTTTGCTGGCAAACCTGTGTGGCCGTCCTTGACCAGTTCTGTGCAATTCCATTAATGAAGAACAAGAACAAAACCTAATGTACAACTCCTTTTTAAATGCCATGGTTTATGTAGTTAGGTCCTTATATATGTTTAGACACTGACATGGGGGAGGGTTAATCTCTTTACTGAAACACTCCAAATATAGTTACATAATTATAGTTATATAACAGACATGTTTTTGAGTCTCAGCTTTCAGTGTATTCTTTCAGGATATGTTCTGTCATCAATGTCATAAAAGAGCTGGAGCTGATTTGAGGTGTGGTGCTTTCATGTGACAAATTTTGCTGTGAACAGGCAACAAGAGGTCAAAGTAGATCTCCATGCAGGTGAAACAAGCCATCTGTTATGTTGCGGGTAAGATTGACCCAGAACAGAAGTGATGTCACATGTCATCTGCATCACTACGGAAAACGGAAAAAAAATCAAAATTATAAAAGAAAATAGTAAAATAATCAATGCCAGTGTTTCTGACACTTTTAAATGAGTAAACATGCCCAGGGAACATAATTGGTGTTCCTTGAAACCAACATAACAGAGAAAGTCAGAGTGCTGGTGAACATCCACAGGAGACAGCAGTGGTAGATGATCATTTCCATGGTCAAGAGAAACCCCTTCACAACAACCAAGTGAACAAAACTCCAGGAGGAATAACAATATCCAAGTGTACCATAAAGACAAGACTTCCAGCTCTGGAAAAACATCCTTTGGCAGATGAAGACAAGATCAATCTACCCGAGTGATGGTGTGGAAAACCTCATGATCCAGAGCATGCCACAGCCCCTTTAAACACAGTTCAGGCAGTGTGATGGCTTGGGCATGCATGGTAGTGAGTGGCACTGGCACACTGGTGTTTATTGATAATGTGACAGAATTCTGAGGCGTTGATTGCCTGATCTTCACTTATTGAAAGGAAAGGCCCACAAAAGAAGAGCAACTGGAACTGCAGTAAAGGCCTGGCAGAGCACAAGAGGACACCCAGCATCTGCTGATGTCCATGAATCAAAAACTTCAAGGGTTTTCTACCAAGTATTAGAAATTTCAATTTTCTGTCATATAATTTGTCCGATTACTTTTGAGCGCCTAAAACGAAGCGATTGGGTTACAAAGAAATGTTTTAGCTCCACAATTTAAAATTCATCATGTACAGAACCCAAATTAGAAAAATGTACGTCTAAATATTTCTGGACCCAACTGTATTTACAGCATCTAGACAGCTGACACTTTGACTTCACAGCCTCACCTGAAGTGGCTGTAGTTGCCATTGTCACTGAAACGTGCTTATTTCAAAGTGTAATCATCTCCTGCTACAGTGACCGTAGCACCACTACTCCCAGCACTTACTGTGTCGCAGGCCTTTTAGAAGCAAATCCCGCCACGTCGCTTCATGACATTTTTCAGGCAGTTACTTTGAAAAAAAGATCGAAGTAGAGGTGGGGGGCAGGATAAACTTCAACCCTGACCAGTGGGACATGAAACTGGTCAGCCACCTGTCAGATCTGATAAAAACCAACTAAATGTGCTTTTCCCTGCAGGTCTACTTACAGCACCATGAGTGTTTGCACAGATTTTGGTGTAGAAGTATGTCTGGTTTATAAAAATGCTATAAGGCACTGTTAGGCAGAGGGCAGGCCTCAGGTTGCTCCACATCAGATGCTGCTGGACTTCACCACAGATGACTGTTCAGACCTGCACGGGGATGGATTCCTGACTCGGCATGTGCCCAGGCTGAGAAGCACTGCGTCATCCTCGGGTGATTTCAGAGTCCACATGATAACGTTTTCATGGCTTGGGATGAGCTAGAAAAGCTTTGTGCATTAGTGACGCCTGAAGTTGTCCACAACATTTGTGTCACTTAAGAGTCCAACTGCTCACATTGTACAGAAACCATGTAAAGTGTATTTTCACGTCCATGAGACAAACAAACAAACAGCTGCACATGTGACAAAGACACTGGACAAAAACGTCATTTTATCTTAAGGAGTTATACAAACATTTTCAGATATACACCATGAATCCTTCTGTTCATCTTGCTATTAACATGACACCAGTTTACTGCTGGTGGTGTTAACTTTATCCTCCGTCCCAAACAGGCGTGAACACAGTCCAGGCAGTACAAGTGACAGAATCATTCCACATAAGGCAGAGTGTTAGATGTTTTTTAAGCAAAGCGCAGTGCAAAAGTCCCATTTGTGTCCAGGTCTTCTTTAATCAAAATATTGCTTCATGTGTTCAATAAAAAATAATCTCAGGTTACGTGCTGGTTAGCTGTTGAACTCCACAGAAAATCTGCCAGCGTCCTGTGAAACCTGCTCAGAAAGACCCGAGCTGTGGATGCCAGCTCACTGGTAGTCTTCAGAGTCCTGGTTACTGCTCATCTCCAGCTCCTCAGCGCTCACCATGGCAGGGTTTATAGCAGCGTACCTTGTCCCGTGAAACTGGCGCATATGAATCTGTAGACAAGTTAAAACAACGTCAGCTGACAGCGTACGACACACAACGACATGATCAGTGAGCGAGCACAGCTCATCCAACATGAAAATCATCCTCTGTCATCTAAAGCTGCAACAGACTATCCTGCCTGCAGAAGACGAGTTCGGCTAGAATGTGTTTGTGGAGAAGTGCTACACAGGAAACAGACCTGGAAGAAACAGCCTACCTGTATGTAGAGGTTGACCTCAGCGCTCCTGCACAGGTACGGGAAGTTTCCTCCCGTTTTCAGGTGCGCTCTTCTGGCGTTAGGATACAGCTTATACATCTCCTCTTTGGCTTCCAGTGACAGAGCGCTCTGATCAAACACCTCAACATCCAGAGGAAACACCACATCAGGTGACAGGAGCAGCTGAATGGGTTCTGCTATACTTCATGACAACTCTGCTTTAACACTTACATCTATGATGGTCACAGCAACGTCCTTTATCTTGTGTGGCTCCACATACGAGTTCTGACAGTTGAGCGTTAGTCGCGATGCTAACTCACTTTGGTTCAAACTCTCCAGCTGCGGGACCAGGAGGGGAGACAGGAGAGAGGTGCACAAGGTTACACTGCTGTGTTCACAGCGGGCAGTCGGAGAGTCACCCACCCACCTCTGGCTCTATTCAGACACGGCTGATGGAGCACAAGGATGTCACTGCACTGGTTTAAGGAAAGCTGTTGGCAGCAGTTCAGGCTGTGTCGATAAATAAAGGTGCTTCCGTATATATATTTGTATAATTGTTGCACCTATTTTCCAATTTCTTAATAAAATGGTCCTGTTCTTCAGCCTGAAAGAACACCGTGTTTAGCAAAGTGAAATATCTCTGCCTTGGAAAAGCTGATCGAGCAGTAAGGTATTCTGTGGTAACAACACTGTACAAGTAACAGACATGCACACACTTACCCTGTCTACCATGAAATCAATTGCATCTGCCATTTTAGGGTCCACAGGTCCTTTTGCAAAGTTTCCCAGAACAATCTTCTTCAGCAGGAACGCTGGCATCAACCAGAAACTGAGGGACAATACAACACACATGAAATTGACCAAACACTTTGATCCATCCACCATCCATCCATCCATCCATCCATCCATCCATCCATCCATAGCACCTGTTTGCAGTCCATGTCTGGTTAAAGATGGAGGTGTCGCTGAATGAGTTGCAGAGGATGAGCGAGTGCACTCGGGGAGACTTGTGTGTATACTCAGCAAACTTCTGAGCCAAGAATCCTCCCAGAGATGCTCCAAACAGATGTACCTGAAGAGTCACAGCAACACCGTCACACACTCGAGGCACACCTCGAACCGGCCATGAGCTCTGCACCTTAATACACGTTCAGTTAAAAACAACATGTGAACGGTAACCAGCAGGAGTGAGTGAAAGCTGTCCTAGTTTTGGGTAAACATCTGTTCATACTGTGGCCATGATGGCGAGTGCCAGCGGTGTCCAACAGCAGGTTTCACGAGGTCGCAGTTCCAGCCATTCAGATGTAGCTCTGCATCCATATTCATGTCATGATTACATCCACACGCCTGCCACTGTCAGCAGTTCTGCTCTGGTGTGAATGGACTCCATTACACACACTTTCTATCACAGTATCTGCAGAGTGCCGGAACTGCTTTCCCCACAAGGGGGCACTGTGGTGGTTCCTGAAGCACACTGCTCATTAGCCTAACCTGTGTTTTAGACCCTGGCAGAGTTCTGCATGACCTCCGTTTCTGCTCTCAGCTCACGGTCAGGGTGGTTGCACTCATAAGCTGCGGTTCTAGTGCTTTGGCCAAATCCACTGAGCGGGATCAAAGCCGACTGAAGCCTGACTGACACCAGCATGTAGAGATTTCAAAACCTGACAGCCTTCCATAATATTGTTTGTGTGTAGGCATTTATGAGCTCTTACTGAGATAAGGTGACAGTGCAGTTTAAAAACAATGATTATTACAGAGCCCAGTGCAGTCAGAGCCCTCTCTTTCTTGACCACGGTTGAGGTAAAGTTGTCAGCAGGAGGTGGGAGGACTGTTTGATCACAACTAGGGCTGCCACGATTAGTCGACCAGTCACGATTACGTTGACTATCAAAATCGTCGACGACTAATTTAATAGTTGCTGAATTGAAGCTTTGTAAGATCCTGAAAGACGCAGGAATAAGTAGCAGGATTTAAGAGTGTAATAACGGACTGAAACAGGAGATGGCAGCACTGCATGTACAAGGATGCCAGCTGCCGTCTAATGCCAAAGAAGAAGAAGCTGTGTCCAGAAGCAGAAGAAGCAGTATTGTAGCTGTGTCCAAATTTAAGGGCCGCATCTTTTGGAGGCCGTTACGTTACAGCAGGGGTCTCCAATCCCAGTCCACGAGGGCCAATGTCCCTGCAGGTTTTAGATGTGTCCTTGATCCACCACAGCTGATTTAAATGGCTAAATTAGCTCCTCAACATGTCTTGAAGTTCTCCAGAGGCCTGGCAATGAACTAATCATGTGATTCAGGTGTGCTGACCCAGGGTGAGATCCAAAACCTGCAGGGACACCGGCCCTCGCGGACTGGGATTGGGGACCCCTGCGTTACAGTGACGTGACAAAGGCCATCCAAGTTCAAAGACTCATCCAAATGCGTCCTCCTTTCCCTCAGATTTGAAGGATGGCTCGGGTGTGTCCTTCGTGGCCCAACCTATCCCACAATTCATAGCACGGCCCAGCCAATTCCAGTTTCCCACAATGGTGGCAGCTACTTAGTTTTAATATTACTCTTTCCGGGTCATGAAATAAACGTTCAAGATATTTTGCAATATCTTAAATATGTAGCAGTGTAAAATTAAAATATCTGCCCGGTTTATCGAGACATCACATGTTTGCAAAAGCGCTCCGATGTTTTCGGAGACGTCTGTTACCCACCAGCTCGATAGCGAGCCGGGGTTCAAGGCTCCTTAGAGCCGGCAGGAACAGTGAACTCCCAGCACATCGTTTTCAGACTCTGCGCAGTCTTTAGCTACTCAGATTAAACTTGATATAGAAGTCATTTAGATAACTTAAAATGTTATTGTTTGGCTTTTTCAGTGTTTTATTTGTTCCTGAATAAATCGGTTTGGCTGAGATTAAAGTTTAAACACAGCTGAATAAACGTCAAACAGAAAACTGATTAAACTGAAGTGTGAGATGGTCGAGAGTTTACTTCAGTGTCCTGTTATATTTTAGATAGCAAGGAGCAGACGGCCGAGTTTATTAACCTCCAGAGAGACAATCTGCAAATTTCATTAAAGTTTAATAAACTATCATCTTGTCTTTATTGTTAGTTAGCACAGACCTTACACACTTAAAGCTGTAAGCTAATGATAGTTATATAAGAGCAGATGCTGTACGTCCAATGGATGATGCTCTGATTAGTCGATTCATCGCAAAAATAATCAGTGACTAGTTGACTGTCAAAATAACCGTTTGTAGCATAATCACAACTCTGGTCTACATACAGATCAGTCACCGTCAACACAAAGTACGGCCTTACTTTATCCAGTTGCAGATGATCCAGAAGCTTCCTGAAGCCATCGCAGAACTCCATGAGATCCCAGTAGACCGGATACTGCAGCTGCAAATCACAGCACCAAAACAACGCCATCACATTCAGTTAGTGGTGTCAGGCATATTCCATTATCTGGTTAGTAAGTTTGTACTTGGAACAAACTGTGTGGGGTTAGCAATGAACATTTCAAGCAGGTCCATCATGTCCCTGACTCAGCGGCAGACACTCCCACAGTTTCACAACTTCCTGACTCGGGCTGGGTATCGTCACTGATTTCTAGAATTGATTTGATCCCGATTCACAAGGTCCCGATTCGATCCACGACTCAATTAGATCCAATTTTAACTCAGACATTCAGAAATATTATGATTCTGATCATTTATCAGTACTGACACTTGTGAGACTTCATCAGAGGTGTGAGCATCACAGCAGAGGCCTTGTGTCAAAGTAACTGAGGATGAAACAGAAAAACATGAAGGAGATTTTCCTGGCCTGGCTTTTTATAACAGATAACCTTAAAAACAAGCTGCAGTAGAACAAAAATGAAAGAAAACCATGAATCAACATCTGAATATTACCTGATGCTGCTGAAGTGAAGCAGAGCAAAGTTACAGAGGTTTGATTAGAAACACAGCTGAGCGTTTTGCAATTTGGCATAATTTTAAAAAGTTTGTATTTCTTCAGTATGACACAGCAGAAAT